GCTGTCGGGAAAAGCCACTTTGCTCTGGCACCGCCCATCAGTGCCCTGGCCCGGGGTGGGGGCGGTCATTGGGAAACAAACGGCTTTGCCAGCGCCTGGCTAAATCAAGGCGGAGGTGCTTGGGCCGTGCGCCTGGCTCCCTTCCTTGCTCCGGGAGAGCCAGAGGCCGCCCGAAGGGGGGGAGGCTCGTTGACTTTGGAAACGTCGGGAAAAGCCACTTTGCTCTGGCACCGCCCATCAGTGCCCTGGCCCGGGGTGGGGGCGGTCATTGGGAAACAAACGGCTTTGCCAGCGCCTGGCTAAATCAAGGCGGAGGTGCTTGGGCCGTGCGCCTGGCTCCCTTCCTTGCTCCGGGAGAGCCAGAGGCCGCCCGAAGGGGGGGAGGCTCGTTGACTTTGGAAACACAACCCCTCCCTGCAGTGGAAAAGCGTTGCCCTGCAGGATGCGCTTTGGGAGGAGGAGGGGGTGGAGGTTGTTTTGTCATGTGAATTGCTTAGTTAGGGCCGGTATGTGTTTCTGAATAATTGTCAAGGGGCTCATGATCCCTGGGCTAGGCATCCCTGCCTACTTTGTCTTTGTCTTCTTATTAGTTCAAATAAAATAACAAAGCCCTCGCAGAGAAACCTTAAAACTGTCAGTGTTTGTGTATTGTTCTAATTGGACCCCATGTATCTTTAATAGAGCTTGGATGCTACTTCATGACATGCCACTTTGAGGCCCAGCCTTCTTTTTTATTTCCTTATAACTTCCTCAAATTACCTTTTGGGATTGAAATGTTTTATGCTTGGTGTGGCTTTAAAGTAAATTTATTTCTGGTTAGTGTTTCATCTATCTCATGCACTAATTCAGGTCTTTTTTTTTTGGGGGGGGGAGCTAGCATAGCCTAGAGATTTTAATTGAAAATACCCATTCATATATCTATAGAAGACTGTGTACTTGCAAAAGCATAGGGGAAATATTAATGGGAAAGACTTAAACTGTTAACCCTGGCATGTACTACACATGCACAATGTTCTCCCTTCCACCTACAGACAGTGTGCACTCAAATCAGTTGTTGTTGTGACCTGGAGGGCTCCTGACTTTTATGTACTGTGCAAAGTCATCCATCTCCTCTGGAGACCCTTAAAATTACTCATTATTCAGAAAAATATGCTTAGGTGTTCAGTATGTCTGGTAATTGTTTAAAACGAGGAAATAAGTTGTAAAATTCTATCTGACTATGTCATGGATTAATTTTAATTAAAAAAGATATGACAGATTTCATTGTATCATGTTTCTTGCAGGAACTGTAATTTAAACCTTTTGAACACATTAGGCTCTGTGGTCGCTAGCTGAATATCTCGTACCCAGTTTTTCACACACTTAAGGGGGGAAGAAGGGAATTCCAGCACAACAGGTTGGAGTGGCCCGTTTAATTTGTTAACTGGTTAAAGGTGAAATAAATTTCACCTTTAACCAGTTAACAAATTACACTGTCTTTTAAATCCTTAGTTCTAATGAGCTGCACAAAGTCATTAATCTTTGTCTTTAGAAATGTTAACATATTTGTTTGTAACACTGAAAGCAAGTATTGAGTATCTTTTTCTTTTTATAAATTTAACAGAATCTAAAAGCGGATCCAGAAGAACTGTTCACAAAACTGGAGAAAATTGGCAAGGGTTCTTTTGGTGAAGTTTTTAAGGGAATTGACAATTGGACTCAGAAAGTGGTTGCTATAAAAATTATTGATCTAGAAGAAGCAGAAGATGAAATAGAGGACATCCAGCAAGAAATCACAGTTTTGAGTCAGTGTGACAGTCCTTATGTAACCAAGTATTATGGATCCTATTTAAAAGTAAGAATATGCTTTTCTGTGTGTGTTTTACAGTTAAAAATGTTGCTCTACTGATGTCCTTGTCATAAAAAAATTGAGGTTGAATAGAAGAATGGTTTTTCAATGGAAGAGGAAATATTTTCTCCCTTTAAACCCTAAAACGAGTGAACTGTTTATAGTTTGTAAAGAGTTTGCTTCCAGACCTACCTGAAGAATAAAATAGTACGTGTCTGTTTTGTCACTTAGTGACAGGAAGAAATGAAACTTTAAGTAACAGACTTGTTACTGGTGACATTCAGGTCTAGCAGTGGTATATTTAGATCAATTTAAACTTAGAATATTTTCACTCTTAGTTTATTGTTCAACTTGAGAATACATTTAAAACATAATAAAAATTGGCATAAAACTACTAGAAACAACTCAGTACCAACTTTTACCACATTTTAACAATTTTGTCACAACAATTTTGTAGAAGTATGCTTTTTAAACATAGAGTTTTGTTTAAACTTTATCCTATTTTTTACCTGAATGGATCAAAAAATTAATTTGCTACCTTGTGACCTATTTGCAGAAGGTGTTTAGTAGAATAGCCTTAAGTAAAGGCTGAGAGATCCTGTTTGGGTTTTGGTTGGTGCTTTGGTTACAAGCTTTACTTATCTCTTGGATTTTATTTTTCTTTGAAAATATCTAGTTTTTTACAGTAAATCAGCTGCAGTGAGTTTTAATATATCAAGTACAAAAAGGTATTTCTTCTTTGCAGAAAGATTAATGTTTAAGGTTTCTCTAAGGACCCACTTCCAGTAGGACAGTCAATTGTGTACTTCCAGTGGCCTGGCCTTGAGGAAAAAGTCCATCACCAATATTCACTCAGAGGGCATGATACTCTATCACTGTCTTTGGGTGTAGTAAGCCTAAAAAGCATATTGCCGAACAAAATAAACTGGCATCCACTTTTAGTTTCTGAAGTCCCCTCTTGAAATCTCCTGACCAAGTGTTGGTGTTTATGTGAAACAAGTCATTCAGAAAGGGCATTACAGATATTTCTCCTACTGTGAAGGAGAAATCAATCTCTTCCGCATCCTTATTCACAAAGGAAATGTTCCTGATTTCCCTAAAGTTCATTTCTCCAGCAGGTCTGGTGGTAAATATGCTTCAGAGGAAGACTGCAAACATTTAAACTGGTTTTCTTTAACAGCCCCAAATACACATGGTCATATTGTATTGTTATGGATGTAGTTCTTCCCAGTGAGGTTGACAATAAGGTGACACTTCTCTTGAAAACACAGAACTTGATGAGAGAGTCAGGGGGAAAAAAAAGACTGAAATAATGCTGGCAGGAAAAAGGAGCTGTAACTACTTTTTCAGATAAAGGCTTTATTTCTTGTATTGTAGTAGGTACTATCTCTATCTCAGAGTTTACAGTCTCTAAAATGGATGAAGGGTGCCTGACTTTGCAGATTCAAACCTTATTTCTTCACCCAGATAAATTATAGGGTACATTAGGCTAACGTATTCTTACATATTAATATAGAGTTTCATTCTTAAAACTTAAACAACAAATAGTCTAGTAGTGCCTTAAAGACTAACAAAACATGTAGATAGTATCACGAACTTTTGTGGGCACAACCCACTTTTTCAGATGACAGGAGAGTTAGAAGTCCAGATCCAAGAATAAATAAAGGAGGAGGAGGGGGGAAGAAGAAGAAGAAGAAGAAAAAAAAAAGACAGTGAGTAGATAAGGTTCAGAAGAGTAGCTGAATTAGTCTGTAACAGGAACTAAAAAAAAAAAACCAAAACCCCAGATTAGTCTTTAAGGTGCTACTAGATTAATAGTTACTAGAGGCTGATACGAATTGTTAGCATCTTCATTGTTTGTTTTGTTAAGTCATTAAAATATGGAAGATAATGTGCGAGCCATCCAATATCCCGGTTCATACTATTTGCATAAGAATTAAACTTGTGAATGAAATTAAGTTCCAACCTTTTCTGTGTATTTGGCTTGTGGAATTGGTCTAAAACAAAACGGCTACTTGGAGCGTTCAGGAAGATTAAAGTGTTCTCCAACAGGCTTTTGTGTATTGCCCTTTTGGATATCTGATTTGTGTCCATTAATTCTTTCCCGTAGAGACTGTCCAGTTTGGCCAATATACATTGTAGTGGGGCATTGCTGGCATTTGATGGCGTTGATCACATTAGTAAATGTGCAGTTAATTGAGCCTCTGATTTGGTGGCTGATGTGGTTGGATCCAGCGATGAAATTGCTGGTGTAGATGTGTGGGCCGAGTTGGCATCGGGGCTGATTGCAGGGGTGGGTTCTTAAATGATTATGATGGAGTTGTGTTACATGGTTACCGGAAAGAATTTGTTTGAGGTTACGGAGTTGTCTGTAGGCAAGAATTGGTTTCCCCCCCAAGGTCTCTGAGAGTGAGAGGTCATGTTCCAGGATAGGTTGTAGATTGTTGATAATGTATTGGATGGGTTTAAGTTAGGGGCTGTAGGTGATGACAGGTGGAATACTGTTTTCTCTTTTGGACCTGCCTTGAAGTAGTAGTTCATGTCTGGGTATTTTTTTTGGTTCTGTTGATCTGTTTTTTCACTTCTCCGGGTAGGTATTTCAGTTTTAAGAATCCTCTATAGGTCTTTGTCTCTGTGGGATTGGAGCAAATCCAGTTGTATCTTGGGGCTTGGCTGTATACAATAGATTGAGAAATATGTCTGGGATGGACGCTAGAGGCATGAAGATAAAGTGTAGCAGTCAGTAGGCTTCCAGTAAAAGGTGGTGGAAATTTGTCTATCATTTAATTGTACTGTAGTGTCAAGGAGTGGATTTCTTGTGTGGACTGATGCAGGCTGAGGTTGATGGTGGGGTGAAAGTTGAAGAGTTTCACAGGGATTTCAACAAGGGTCTCTTTCCTGTGGGACCATATGATGATGTCATTGATGTAGCATAAGTAGAGTAAGAGCGTTAGGGGGTGAGAGTTGAGGAGACATTGTTCAAAGTCAGCCATAAAGACGTGGGCATATTGTGGTGCCAGGCGTGAGCCCATGGCTGTGCCACTAACTTGAAGTTATCTTTGGCCTGAGCCATTACTTCCATGTTCTTGTGGTGTACCTTGAGTGTTACAGGTATATTCCAGGATCTTGTTAAACATTAAATTCTCGGTTCAGCTCATAGAGGCAAAAGGGTAACTAATAGCTCTTTTATATATGCCATGGGTTATAAATACTTATGCTAATTTCCTCTAGATAATCTATAGGTTCCTTGGATTACAACCAAATATAATGAAATAATATTCACTGAACTATAAACCAAAATACAGGTTGAATTTCTCTAGTCTGGCAGGCACCCTTCGGACCTGACTGGTGCCGAACCACAGAATTTGCCGAACCGTGAGAGGTCAATATTGTCTAGCAGTATTACTAACACCTCCACTGCTTAGTTGGCTCTTAAAAGACATTGAGGGGTAAATTAGAACTAAATAACAGCACAGAACACTGGACTGGGGGTTGTGAACAAACTTTGTGAGGCTGCAGGAAACTTGGTCAAACCCATGATAAATGGACATCTGGCTAAGTAAAATCATGCTAGACCACAGATATTGCCTGACTAGAGAGGTTCAACCTGTAATATAATCAAACCAATCAAGAAAAATAGATTATACAATATAGCAACATGGCAAGCTAGTCATATGGGCTACAGTTCGCCAACACAAACTTATGTGGAGGCAAAAAAATACTGAGTAGAAATAGGAAGGTGGTGTTATTGTTGTAGATAGCATTAGTGAGACCAAAAGTGGCGTACTGTATCCAGTATTGGTGTCAACAATTACAAAATAATGTAGGAAAAATTGTAAAGGGTTCAGAAAAGAGTTACAAGAACCATTTTGAGCACAAGAAAACCTGCCTTACCATAGACTTAAGAAACTTAGTCTATTTAGTTTGTCTAAGAGAAAATTAGTAGGCAAGTGCTCCTTTTAGAAGTACCTGTCTGGGGACAAGATTTCTGGTAGGTGAGGGCTCAAAATCTACCAGACAAAGGTATAACTATAATGGTTGGAAGCTGAAGCTAGACAAATTTAGGCTAGAAATAAGGCATACATTTTAGTGAGAGTAATTAGCTCTTTCAATTGCTTGCCCAAGCATTGGGTGACAGTTTTGAAATCATGGTTGAATTTCTTATTAAAATATGCTTATTAAAATATAGCACAACTAGAAATATGGACTTGGTACAGGAATTAATGAAATTCTAGGGCTTGTGCAATGTAGGAGAATGAATTGTGAGATAATGGTCTCCTATTATCTTAGAACTTCATGAATAATGTTAACTCCTGAAATATGATTTACTTAAAACTGCCTACAGGTCAACTGGAAGCTTCAGTGAATTTAGCATTCAGTGTTTGGCCTTATAAATAATACAAACAGACAAGCACCTCATGCCGTTTCATAAATTCATGCACCAATTCTTCCACCCAGTAAGAAGTCTGCTTTGAGGCTTTGGCACTTACTTTTCTGATGGATTAGTGCCTGGTTTTATCAGAAAGCAGTTATCCTCCGTGTCTTGTATTCTTCTTGGTCCTTAGGCTTCTTAGCTTGTATGCATGCTTGCCTACAGCCCTTTTTTAATGGGAGAAGATATATCAGTCTGCATCCCTCTTAAACTTGGACATCAAATTGGGGGTTGGTTCCAGACACTCTTTTCCCTCACTACCTTTTCAGAAAGATTTAAGGAGTTTGTCTCCCTGAAGAAGTAGTCATGAAGTTATACAGCCAGTAATTAATCAACTTCAAAACATGATTTATTGAAAATGCAGAAGAAAGTCAAAAAGTTTGCATAATCAGTGCAAGTTTACATTTCCCCGTGAGTGCCTTATCTAGTTAGCTTAATTTAGAAAAAAGAAAACAAATACTGTACTTTGCAGTTCTTCAGAAACAGTGTTTCACCAAATACTTGCTGGTCAAGCTGATACTGCCTTTTACTTCTGGGTCTCTGAGATTTCTGAAATCTGCATTGAGAAACTAGG